AGTCCAACCTCCCTGCTCAAGCAGGGTCCTCTAGAGCATGTTGCCCAGGATCACATCCAGACAGGTTTTGAATATCTCCAGGGAAGGAGACTCCACCACCTCTCTGGGCAACCTGTGCCAACGCTTTGTCACCCTCACAGGAAAGAAGTTTTTCCTCATGTTCAGACAGAACTTCCTGTGGTTCAGTTTCTGCCCGTTGCCTCTTGTCCTGTTGCTGGGCACCACGGAGAAGAGGCTGCCCTCATCCTCTTGACACTCCCCCTTCAGATACTTGTACACGTTGATGAGATCGCCTCTCAATCTTCTCTTCTCCAGGCTGAACAGGCCCAGCTCTTGCAGCCTTTCTTCATAGGAGAGGTGCTCCAGCCCTCTCCAGATATTGTTAAGCTTTAACTTATTAGCCAAATATGAAATCATTAATTTTCCTTGAACATTTTTGAAAAAACTGTCTCTTGGCCAGACACCCTTTCACAAAACCACATATTTTTTCCCTGCCTTGCATTGACTCCCACACCAAAAATGGTCCTTTTTTTTTTTTCTTTGTAATTCTAGGACCAAGACAGTATGTTGCACGACGTTCAGTCTCGTTTCAGATCATTCAATATTTTTTTGAAGCATGCAATTACTCAGAAAAAGGAGGTAAGTAGGAACTCACAGAACAGAAGTCAGAGATTCAGTGAAGAACGAGTAGTCATTTGCTTTCAAAGGATAGGTTTTGCGCATTGTTTTCCATTAAAAAATGGCTTAAAAAATAAAGAAGACATCAACATTCTGTCCTGTCTCTTTTCACCATCTCATGCGGGTCTGCAATTGAACTGAAATTCTGCCTTTCCTAAAACACTACACCCTAGTTAAAAAGCAGTAACAATGGATTACAAAGAAAATATTAAAAAAAGTTAGGTTAACAACTCTATTATATGTATATTGCATTTATAGACATACAAAATGAATTTAATGCAGTACAACTGGATTTTTCTTCCCTAGCTAAGGCCTTTTCACCAAAATGGTAGGATTTATGTTTGTTCTGTGAATGCTAAAATACGCAAATATTTCCAACAAAAGCCACCTAATGACCAATAAAAAGAAATAAATGACAAATATTCAGATCTAGTTTTCTCCTGATTGTTAACTTTTCTTATAAACTGCCTGTGAAATTCATCATTCAAACTGCTACTTAACAGAAGCCACAGCTGTATTATTTGCCTTTAATGGCCTTTTTATTTACTTATTTTCTTAAGAAATCACATTACTGTTCTACTTTAAAAGTCATGTTCTAAACCCTATTCTACTATAATGTGAGGAAAAACATAGAAGAAGAATTTCTTACATATTCTGGCTGCAACTTTGAGGTTCTTAAAAAAAAAAAAAGCCAACTGCCTTTCTCTCCATTTAAAAAAAACTTTATGTTTCCCATTTCTTTGTGCCAGTAACTAATGATCTCATCTTTGACTAAGCACAGGGAAAGATTTCACCTACTGTTTTATAAAATGTAATTTCAATAAAAAAATGTAAAAATCACTTACAGTGAGAAATCTTCAGTACATAAATGTACTACTGTTAATTTACAGACCTAGCCACATGGTGCAAATGCCATCTCATAGTGTACCAAATTCCTGTGTAGGCTGCTTTTGAGAGTTGATTATGACTTCATTGCCTGGAAGTTCTTGCACACTGATTTTAAATCAATAAGAAAATATTTTCATAATTCCTTAAGTGATTACTTAACACTTTAGCTATCAGACAAAGTTATCTAGGGTATCCTTGAAGAAGGATAACTCTTAGTAACAGTACTATTAATAACTCCTTGTGCTTGGAGTTATTAATAGTACTGATAAATCAAATCTTGTAAAAGTGAAAAGTGGTATTAAATATTCTTTGATATGGCCTTGTGAAGGAGGTCCTAAATGCCTATTTTTAAGTGATGGCTGAAATAAGAAGGCATGACTTCTTGTCATCCAGCAACACAAGCCTGAACGAAATCAAAAGAATCACCTCGGGTTTAACTACCAATGTAGTAACTGTGGCAATGATTTGCTACAGCCAATTTGCTTCTGAAAATGTACGAAAGACTACAGAGCATGGAGAAAGTAATCTGACAGCAGGAACAGAAATAGTTCATATTATATAAAGGAATGAGTAGAGAGTTCTGGCACTGAAGAATGCGCAGAACCCAGCAAGGGATAGTGCAGACATAGCAGAGTGGTCAAAGACCTGTAATGGTGCATGAATGGTCACCATATGGAGGCCCCTGCACCCACAAATTCTGCCATAGGCTTTCTCACCTTCTCACCTGACTTGAACCTCAGGGAAAGTTTACCTGGTCAGATGCGGGTGACTCTATTTGGCTGAGTAAAAAACACCAGTAGGATGCTGCTTACATCAGATCCAGCTTCTATCCCAGCACTGGGTAAGGCAAGAATGCAGTTAAAGCTCTAGACACAATTCAGCATTAAGGGGATCCTATACCTTGCCACAGATTTGGCCATAATGTTCTTTGTGGTAGAAGAAATACATTCAGGGGGCACTGTAATATAAAGAAGATAGGAGTAAACTGATATTGACAGTGAAAACTAAGTATTCCATGAGCAGCAGAACTAATGAGATGTGGTTTCTTATGGATTTGTGCTTCATCCCTTAACCTTCTCCTTCCCTCCTTTTCCATAAAGCATCCAGTGGATAAAGCTGCAGTTACTCACATTCTAACAAGCCAGCACGGTACGAACACGACAGTTGGCTAGCTGGCTGCTGCAGCACATTATCTGTGTTTCGTATGACTGCCTTTACCTCAGAAAATACATAAATTTTGCTTTCTCCTCTATTCAAATACCTCAGGTTTTATAAAACTTGTAGGAGCTTAATTATTTCCAAGACACTAACAACCCTCGGTGAAATATGGTTCAAATTTGCTATTGGGTTTAAAAATTACTTTGGAAGGAGGACAGGGATCAAAAGATAGAGACAGTGTGAGATAAATCTTGTTTTTTCCTTAAGAAAATCAAAATAAATTTTATAAGGTCAAACTGCAACACTGTACTGAAAGCCTGTAGAAAGCTACAAAGTCATCAGCTGAAAATAAAAGTAATAGAGAAAAAAATGATGGTATTATTGAATTGCAAGGAGACAGAGTCCCTAATATGATCCGAGAAACAAATGCAATCCTAGAATGTAGCAGCTGAGGAGCTTCCAAAAGAGATGAAGAATATTAATGCCATTGTAAAGGGCACTGCTGAAATCTCTTTAGAAATACTGTCACATCTGTCTAAGAAAAACAAGCTCTGACTGAAACACAGGCAAATAATGGATACAAGGATGACGAGAGAAATGAAGAACACGTAACAGGGGACTAGAGGAGCTTAACTTGTTTAGCCTAGCAAAATGAAGTCTAAGAGAAAATATTTAACTCAGAAACGGGGTATAAAAATTAAGGAGGAAAAACAACCACTGAGTATAATGTAAAGGACCAGTGTTGGTGTAGCAAAAAATAGCCACAAATGAGTCATACAAATCTAGGTTGGAAATTAAATTACATGATTTGTAATCTTCAGAGAAGTTAGGTTCTGAAACAGTATTCCTGTGAGAAGAGCTGAGCTACAGACTCCGTATTTGCTTGCCATAAAGAAAAACAGGGAAGAGAACTTCCAGCAGCATCCATAACCCTCTGACTTCCAAAACCAGGTTCCTAGCTCTTGGCTTGCAGGACACGTTCTGTATCTTCGCCCTTTGCGGTAGCTGTGCCCACGGGAAGCTCCACGGGTAACGAAGCCTAAGCTAATTATCAAGGTTCCTTTGCAGTCAGTAGAGGTGGACACTCCCTGAAGGCAAATGATTCCACTTATCTTAACCACTGAAATTCCTTTCTTTCTTCTGTTCAGTGGGGCAGTGATCTCATTTTGCTGCCCCACCGACTTCCTGCTTAAAATGCTCCACTTTGTGTGAATACTCACTCTCTTTATTCCCCTCTCCCCACCAGTGACAGATCATATTTTTATTCTCCTTGGCATTTTGCACTCTCTGCCCATCAAGTTCAACTTTTTAATGTTCATTATTTCAGTTCGCTGCCCTCCGGTACCACGCAACAGGTACTATTCTTTCCTAGATCGGATTGTTATCATCCGGCAGGTACTTTGATGGGCCCAGGAAACAGAACTAGGGCTGGTTTTACTGGTGGAGAGGGGAAGAAAGGGCCCTAACGGCCCCCTGCCACGCACGGCGAGAGAGGCGGCAGCGCAGCAGCGGTGGGGTAGCTGCTTCACCCAGCCATCTGCCACTTGGGAGACTGAACGCGCGCTCTCAGCCCAGTCCTCAGCTGGTCAGAGATCCCTGTCAAAAACACAGCCAACAAACAAACAAACAAAAAAGCCCCCGAAAGTCTGCAAACGCCAGTAGCAGTTTCTGTTTGCAAGGTCAGCAAAGAAGCAGAGGTCCGAAGACATGAGGGGGCTGCCCTGTCCTCTCCATGCCTTGGCCGCC